AGGTCCAAGAGATTACTGCCTTATATTTTATTTTAGGAGTTTTATGGTTTTAAGTCTTACTTTTAGCTCTTTAATCCATTTTATTTTTGTGTGTTGTATAAGAAAGTGGTCCAGTTTCATTCTTTTGTATAGATTATCATAGATTAATTGACCATATAAGTGAGGGTTTATTTCTGGGCTCCCACTTCTGTTTCATTGATATTTCTTTTGTGCCAGTACCATAATGTTTTGATCGCTATAGCTTTGTAGTATAGTTTGAAATTGGAGTGTGATAACTCCAGCTTTGTTCTTCCTCAAGATAGATTTGGCTGCTCATGGTCTTTTTTGGTTCCATACACGTTTTAGGATTTTTGTTGTTGTTGTTCCATTTCTGTGAAAAATGCTATTAGTATTTTTTTATGCTTATTTTTGAGAGAGAGAGAGAGAGAGAGAGAGAGAGAGAGAGAGAGAGAGAGGCAGGCAGAGAGAGAGGGAGACAGAATCTGAAGCAGGCTCCAGGTTCTGAGCTGTCAGCACAGAGCCTGATGTGGGGCTTGAACTCACAGACTGCAAGATCATGATCTGAGCTGAAGTCGGACGCTTAACCAACCCAGCCACCCAGGTGCCCCAATGCCATTAGTATTTTGATAGGGATTGCATTAAATCTGTAAGTTGCATTGGGTAATATGAAAATTTTAGCAATATCAGATCTTCCAGCCCATGAGCATGGGATATCTTTCCACTTACTTGTGTCATCTTCAGTTTCTTTTATGAGTGTCTTACAGTTTTTATTTTTTTATTTTATTTAATTTTTTAATTTTTCTTTTTTTGAGAGAGACAGAGCATGAGCGGATGGGGGAGGGGCAGAGAGAGAAGGAGACACAGATCTGAAATAGGCTCCAGGCTCCAAGCTGTTAGCTCAGAGCCTGATGTAGGGCTCAAACCCATGAACTGAGAGATCATGACCGGAGCCGAAGTCGGATGCTCAACCGACTGAGTCACCCAGGTGCCCCGAGTGTTTTACAGTTTTTAGAGTGTAGGTTTTTCACCTCCTTGACTAAATTTATTGCTAGGTATTTTATTTTTCTGATGCAGTTGTAAATGGGATATTTTCTTAATTTCTCTTTCTGATAATTTGTAATTTGTGTGTAGAAATGTAATAGATTCCTGATTTTTAATTTTGTATCCTGCACCTGACCGAATTCACTTAGTCTGATAGGTTTTTCATGGAATCTTTAGTGTTCTCCATATATAGTACCATGTAATCTGCAAATAGTGACAGTTTTAACTTCTTTCTTACCAGTTTGGATGCCTTCTATTTCTTTTTCTTGTCTGATTGCTGTGGCTAGGACTTCTAGTACTATGTTGAATAAAAATGACAAGAGTGGACATCCTTGTCTGGTTCCTGATCTTAGAGAAAAAGCTTTCAGGTTTAACCATTGGATATGATTTTACCTGTGGGTTCATGATACATGGATTTTATTATGTTGAAGTATGTTTCCTCTGTACCCACCACTATGATCTTTTTAATGTATTGTTGAACTTTGTTCACTAATATTTTGTTGAGGATTTTTGCATCTGTTTATCAAGGCTTGAATTTTTTTGTGGCATCCTTTTCTCATTTTGTATCAGGGTAATGCTAGTCTCATGAGATTAGAAGAATTCCCTCCTCTTCTGTTTCTTGGAAAAGTTTCAGAAGGATTGGCATTAATTCCTTGAATGTTTGCTAGAATTCATCAGTGATGTCATCTGGTCCTAGATTTTTATTTGATGGGAGGTTTTTAATTGTTGGTAACAGTCTCCTTGCTAATAATTTGTTCAGATTTTCTCTTCTTCATGATTCAGTTTTGAGAGATTATATATTTCTAGGAACTTACCCATTTCTTACAGGTTGTCAAATTTGTTTGATGTATAATTGTTAATAGAAGTCTCTTTGTATGTAATTTTTTGTATGTCTGGTATTATTTTTGTAATGTCTCATTATTTGTGATTTTGAGTCCTCTTTTTTTAAGCCCCTTAACTTTATTGAGACTTGTTTTATAGCCCAGAACATGGTCTATTTGAAAATAATTTGTATTTTTCAGTTGTTGATGTAGTTTCTATAATTGTTAAATTAAGATGTTGATATTGTGCAGATCTAAGTATTTTCTATTTTTTTGTCCAGTTCTATAAACTGCTGAAGAGGTAGTTTTATATTATGTTTTTGTGGAATTGTATATTTCTTTTATTTCCTTCCATGTATTTTGAAACTTTGTCATTGGACACAACGTATCAGTAATTATCTCTTTAGTTGATATTAAAATAGCCACTCCAGCCTTCTTATTCCTATTTTTTGCATGGTATATCTTTTTATATCCATTTACTTTCAACCTATCTGTATATATCTTGCAGGCAGCATATAATAATAAGGTTTTCTTTTTTTAATCCACTTTGTCAATTTATGGCCTTTAATTGCAGTGTTTAACCTAAGAGTTAGCAAACTGTGTCCCTCAGTTCAAATCCTTGTTTAGGAAATTATATTTTATTGGAACACAGCCACATGCTTTATTTTCTGGGCTGCTTTTGCATTATAAGACTGAGTAGTTGTGACAGAGACTGTATGTTCCAAAACTCTCAAATATTTACTATCAGGTCTTTTATAAAAAAAAGTTTGTTGACTCCTGATTTAGACCATTAACATTTAAGGTGATGTGGTTGGATTTAGGCCTATTATTTTTTATCTTGTTCCATTTTTTTAATTTTTCTGCCTCCTTTTGGATATTTTTGAATGTTTATTGGTATTTGATTATATCTTTTGGATTGTTAGCTATATTTTCTTGTGTTTCTAAGTTGTTGGTCTAGGGATTATAATACCTAACTCAGTGTACTTGTTAATATTAAACTACTTCATGTGAAATGGTGATGGTAAGACCTTGCAACCATGTGTAGGTTCCTTCCCTTTCCACCACTGCCCTGACCTTTTCGTTGTAATTGTATGCATCCTATTCTTAACCAGTGTCATAAGTTTTGCTTTTAACAGTCATACACAGTCACACAAAACTCAGTGGGAAAAACAGGAGGCCATTGTATTTGTCAAGCTACTTATTACCCTTTTTCTTTTATTCTTCATTTCTGAATATTAAAGTTTCTGTCTAGTATCATTTCCCTTCAACCTGAAAAACTTCTTGTAGCATTTCTTACAGATCAACGCTACTAGTGACAAATTCTTCTAATTTTTTTTTCTCTTCTGAAAATGTCTTTTAACTTCACGAGTATTCCAAGATTTTCCTCTGGTTAGGTGTAAGGTGTAAAAAACCTCTCCTCTGCTTCTTTCTCTACTCTCAGTACTGTACTATATTCACAACACTTCACTTCTGACATTAGATGTATCATTTTTCCAGATATCAATATCAATTCTCTGCAACACCAGCTGGGTTTCCTACAATTCAGTTTTCACACTAACTGGAATTAGTTTAGACCCCACAGATTAAGGGCTCAGGCTCACAACACTACACTTCAGATGACAGTTGCAAGCAGTAGGTCCCTGGATTACCCAGAATTCCTATCCAAGTTGGCTACAAATTGGAGGTTTCCAAGTTTCCCTTCTTGGATTCGATCATTTGCTAGAACTGCTCACAGAACTTAGGGTGATCTAACATTTACCAGTTTATTATATAATAAAAGCTATGATAAATGATACAGATAAAGAGCCAAATGAAATGAAACATAGGGAAAAGTCTAGAAGGGTCTCAAATGTGGGAACTTCTGTCCCTGTGGAGTTGGGGTGTGCCACCCTCCTGGTACATGGATTTGATGGATGTGTTTACCAACCCAGAAGCTCTCCACACCTCATATTTTTGGGATTTTTATGGAGGCATCATGTGGCATGATCACTCATTAGTTCAATCTCCAGTCCCTCCCCTTCTAGAAGGAGGTGGGGGGTGGGCTGAAAGTTTCAAGTTTCTAATCATGGCTTGGTTGACAACTCCTGTTGACCAGCCCCTGTCCAGGAGTCCACCAAAAGTCACCTCCTTAGAACAAAGGACATTTCTGTCACCCAGGAAATGCAAAGATATTTAAGAGCTGTGTCAGAAGGAGGATCAGAAACCAAATATTTGAAAAGATGCTCCTAGCATTCTTATCACTTAAGAAATTACAAGGGTTTTAGGAGCTTTGTGCCAGAAACCAAGGACAGAGACCAGTGTGTGTGTGTGTGTGTGTTTTCTCTTTCACAATATGGAGTTCTAGGTTGTCATTTCTTTTGTGTTAGTATTTTAAGTATATTGCTCTGCTGGCTCAGCAAGTGGTCTTTTTTGGTGATAGTTTCTGAAAAGAAATATGCAGATATTTGAAGCATTGTTTTTATTCCCATTTAAAGATAGGGTGGCTCAGTCGGTTGAGCATCCAACTGTTGATTTCTGCTCAGGTCATGAACCCAGGGTCATGGGATCGAGTCACATGGAGTGTGGAGCCTGCTTGCGATTCTGTCTCCCTCCCCTGCTTGTATTCATGCTCTCTCTCTTAAAAAAAAAAAAAAAAGGCGGGGGGGGGGGAGTCTATCTTAGATCTTTTTCACCATTACTTAGCACACCTTTCATGCACAGATGTATAATAAATTTTCTTGAATTTACTTTGTATTACATTTTAAGTTAATATGAAGACTAGATAGGCTTATTAGGGTTCCATTTTGGCAGGGTCTGAATTGCCCAACAGGTGTTACTGCTGTTATATTTTATAATGCAAGTTCCCTTCACTAGATATAAATAACCAGATGAAAGAAGCCATGCATTACCAGTTTTCTGAAATAGTTCTCTCCCTTCCATTTTTCCTGGGTTACTTGGCTTCCTTTCCATGTGAAAGGAAAATGGGAGGCAGTAGGTACTTTCCAAAATTTTTTGCCTTTCTTCTCTTTTGCATAGAAATTACTCATATTTTTATAAAATAATGGACCATTAAGGGACATGCAGAAAGAAATGAACCAAAAACTGTTCTGGAAGAGTTATGTATTTTGTAACATTGCACTTGATATTTAATATCTATAGAGAGAATTAAATACAGCAGAGATTTCCTGTTGAAGCTCTCAAGTGTTTCCATCTGCAGAAAAAAACCAGACTTTCTGCCTGATCATCCCATTGTACTTCAAAAACCAGTAAGTAGTTTTCTAATTTTATATTCTAAAATATTTTTCTTCAGTATTTTCACTAGATTCTCACTAGATTTTTAATATTATGAAATATAACTCAGAAAAGTACACAAATGTATAATATAACCAAACTGTAAGTAATAATAGAATGGAATTGTATTTTTAAGAAATACTTTTTCCATTGAAAGATACAGAACATCCATATTAAATCTTGTAATCAATCCATCTGCAGTTGATTTTACTGTATGATGTGCGGTAGGGGCCAAGTTTTACTTTTTTCTGCATGAATATCCGGTCATCCTAGCTCTGTTTATCGAAAGGGTGGTCCTCTGCCACCTTGTGGTAATAGATGCGAGGTGTGTTTCTGGGCTCCCTACTCTTAGTCCTTCTATACAGTAAAACCAGTCATCCCACAAACAGTATGTCTGCTGTTCTTAGCGCTTTATATTTCTGTGTCACCGCCATCACATTTCACCAAAATGGATACAATAAATACACATATCTTTTAGGATATTGATTGGAAAGGACATGCATTTTGCTACCAGACTTGGGTTCAAGCTGTGGCTTCACCTTGTGTACTAAAATATCATTCTAACTTAAGTCACTTGACCTTCTGTGTCTGTTCTGTGATTGTAGATAAAGTTGATAATCTCTAGTTGTTAGGATTAAATGAAATGTATGGAAGAGCTTGGCATGGTACTTAGCTCTCATTGTGCACTTAGTAAATTGGCTTTATTTCGAGTTTAGAGTTTTCACAAACTACTTTATGTAGGTAAATACTCCATGGAGATTAATTCAGAATATGGGCATGCTGAGAATGGCTCAAATGTGAGATGTGTAACATACTTCCTGTGCTCTCCATTTTTAGGATTTCTAACCCTTGGGAATCCAAAGCCTTTTTTTTCTCTTAGAATCTTTTGAATTTTAACTTACAGTGTTTCTCAGTGTTTCCTAAAGTCCCTACCTTGTAGAACCCTAGTCAGTTTTTCAAAATTTAAACAGAAATTTGTTTCTTTCAGAATACCTTGCACACAGGAATATTTTGTCATGAAAAATGTCCTTAATGACGTTCACATTTTCCGACCTGTTCAGAGATCTTGATATGTATGAGTAAATCAGTGCTATATATTGTCAAGTTTTCATTTGCAGACTTATTTCATCTCTGACATTTTATTTTGTAAATAAAAGTTTGACATACACATTATTTTGAACAAACCAGGTACCACAGAAACAGAACAGGTTTGAAGTACAATCTAGTATATTTAAAAATGAATTATGTTTTATTAAACACAGGAGAACTGTTTTGACAAGTTCCAGTTACTATAATACTTTCTATAGCAACATGCATTTAAGATCTGTAAACACTTAATAGGGTCACAGTATTTGGTTTGATAAACTAGTAAAAACTGTATTCATTCAATCTAATTGATAAATTAACTTTTTCTTCTATGTTACAGGAAAACCACCCAAGTTTTAAGTAGCATGTTAAGAACAGATGAATTTGAACATAAAGAATTACTCGTTTTATATTTTGGACACCTGCAAATGAAGTGGACCTAGTAACAATAACTGTAATGGACTGTGACAGTTCAGCTTATTTTTAATTTTGATGGTTGGGTATTTGGTTTCTCCCTAAAATGAGAAAGATATTTTAAACTATAAAGAATTTTCTAATCAGTTTCAACTTTGCAGGCAGTTTCCTGCATAAATTGGGAAGTAACACTGGAAAGTAGGAATTCGGTTAGTAAAGTGGGAAGACTGTATTTATAATTTGCATGCTACTTGCAATTTTTTTTTGTTTTTCATCTCTTGTAATAATGGAATGGAAATGTAAGCTGTAAAGATTCCCAAATATAAAGTATTTGCTATGATGTATATATGGTACATAATTTCTTGTTGCTTTGCTTTTGTTCTGTTTGCCACTGATTTCATACCAGCATTTTGAAAGGCTCTTTGCAATCTCTCCAGAGGCTTAGGATGATTCAGGATGTTCAATGCATAGTTCTCCATGACAGGAAACAGAATCTTTTAATAGGCAGTTCTTTGGTCTCTAGGTTTTCGATAGCATTGTTTAAGATTCATAATTACTAGCAGAGACAATTTGGAAACCAGGAAACTGAAGGTGGAGAATAGCTGCTACTTGTTGTGTCTGATCAGACTACATGAACAGAAGTTGGGCAACTGCAAAATAAAACTGATATTTTTACCCCCAAAAGAGGAAAAATTTAGGCATTTGCAAATAATTGAGGTGCATTAAGTTTCAATTCTGTAATTTCTTATAACAAGAACACATGGATGAAGAATTTGGGGGTTTAAACTTTTAGCTCCTAGAAATTTTATGTAATAAATTACTATTGAAAAAAAGTTTCTTCCAGCATAGTGTCAAAAAAAAATTGCTGATGTAGATAAAGGTAAGTGTAAACTTTCCCTACTTTTATTTTCTCAGATCCCCAGGTCTACTGGCAAGGCATTTGAGACCATCATTTGGCAGAAGGTTTATCTCCTACTGAATTCTGAACTCCTAAAATCAGTACCTTTTTCCTCACTGGTCTTTGGGCTTGTTACCTAGATTTAAGCTTTTAGTCCATGGGAGGCTTCCCATCTTGGTCTAGTTTTCATTACTTTGTTCCCCAGAAAGAGATTTTTTTTTAATAGGAACAAAACCCCCATAAATTTATGGGTTAATTAAAAATGATACATTAATACCTAGGGCCCAGATTTTTCACTTATTTTCTGTCCTATTTTCCCTTTATATATATATATATATATATACACACACACACACACGTATATATATATATATATACACACACACACACATATACTGTGTATCCACACACATTCTCACACACATAGAAATTTATATATAGTTTGTGTAAAAGCTGGGGTCAGTATAACCATATTTTTTTGACTCTAGTTAAAAAAACTATGATAGAACCTATTCTAGTTTGGAATCTAAACAGCCATTCTGCTCAACACTGTTACTGAGGGCAGAAACCTTTTTGAAGTCCTACCACCATTGTACTTCGGAAACTGCCTCATACTTAGAAGACTTAGATACTTTCTGATTCTAATACTATGTTTTTACTGGCTATAATTTGTATTTTTTTGAAACCATTTATAAACAACCTTTTCAAGAAGAGTTTGTATGTCAGACGCCACTGTATATAATCAGAGTGAGACTGCAAAGACTGTGCTCTTATCCGTTTGCTTTTGTACATGTGTATAGTTTGTTTGAATAATCATTGTACAACTCCATTCATGTTCTCTGCTTTGTATATAAATTAAAAGAGTTGAGCCAGGTGTTGTTTCATAGTGTTTGTCATCTTTAGAAATGACCAAAGACATACACACATATGTACACATGCACACACATTTGTGTGTGTGTATATGTGTATATATGTCAAAATTTACTGCCCTTGTCTAGTAGAAACTATGAAAAAAATAATTTAGAGTGAATGAGGGCATACAAAGGTAGTGACAGAAGTTAGTATTTCATAAATTAGTTGGAGAAAATATTTTAGGTCAAATTTTATATTTAAAAAATTTTATTTTTATTTTGTCCTTTTGGGATTTCTAAAATTTAAAAAAAAAAAAAAAAAAAAGTTTTTTCCTTGAAGACCTATGGCTTCAAAGGAATTTGGATTAGAGAATAACATGGTAACAAACTCCCATATGTACTGGATTTTCACTAGCAGCATTTACCGGAATAGATTCTATTAAAAATATGTAATATATGAGCTTGTACAGCAGAGCATATTAGGGACACAGTTAACTGTTCTAGTGACATTAGAGCTGTTGTCATTCTAGTGCTGAGACTGGGAAATGTTTTCTGTCCAATACCTTCCCTAAAGTTTTGTGCTTAATGTATAGTTCTTCTTTGTTCACTGAGGTTAAAGTTTTGTTTTTTAAATATTTTGAACTCATTATTTAAGTGCAAATGTCTATTTTTTAATAAGAAATTTAGTCCTCTGGATCATGTGCCAAAAATTTGAACCTGATTTTCTCAAACTAAGACTGTCCTCTTTTCTTGATTTGTTGAACTTACATACAGGGAATTATGATGCTAATAAATGATATAACTATAGATCATTATAGAACTATACAAGTTCCGTTACTAAATGGTACCCTAACTATTACCGAATTGTTCACTTGCAAAAAAACCAGTTTCTAACCTGACAGGTATATAGAGAGTGTAGATTATAGCCAAGATTGTTGTATACTCCTGTATCAACTTCTTTTCTTTTTAGCTTAAACAACAGAAAGGCATTTTCTCACAGTTCTAGAGACTGGAAGTCCAAGACCACGGTGCTAGCAGGGTTGATTTCTTCTGAGGCCTCTCTCTCCTTGGTTTGCTGCTGGCACCTTCTTACTGTGTCCTCATGTGGCCTTTTCTCTGTGCACATGCATCCCTGCCGTTGCTCTCTCTGCACATAAGGACACCATTTTGGAGCATGTATTAGCGTTTTTCAGTGAAGTGAGTACTCGAAAGATCGTGGGTTGGGAATACAGTGAGCGTTACTGAAGAATATAAGCTTCATTCACAGAAAACCAGTTACTTAAAAATGACAAAACACTGATTTAACCCCTAGCTTATGACAAATCCACAGAAGCTATCCTATATACTCTAAAAGTTCCCACTTTAATTATTTTTTATCACTTCTTTTTCACAAATTTGTTCCTTTATGTGTACACTTGTTTCACATATTAGGATTTTGCCATGAAAGGGTTTTAGGTTACAATGTAGCAAAACAGCAGACTTCAAAAAGTTAGCTAAAATTCACATGAAAGATCTAGAAGACATTTTAGAAGAGTGCACGTCTTAAATATAGTAAAAGTATAGTGTAGATTAGTAACTGCAGAGAATTTTCTAATTCACATTTTAGATGAGAATACTTGTTTTTCACTCGGAACCATGAGGAAAATGTCTAGGAACATCTAGTTGTTCAGGATCCACCATGAAGCTGAAAAGAGAAAAACAAATTTTTAAACGATGTAAATAATTGCCAGGGTGTAATCATTCTTAAAAAGACTATTTTCGGGGCGCCTGGGTGGCGCAGTCGGTTAAGCGTCCGACTTCAGCCAGGTCACGATCTCGCGGTCCGTGAGTTCGAGCCCCGCGTCAGGCTCTGGGCTGATGGCTCAGAGCCTGGAGCCTGTTTCCAATTCTGTGTCTCCCTCTCTCTCTGCCCCTCCCCCGTTCATGCTCTGTCTCTCTCTATCCCAAAAATAAATAAACGTTGAAAAAAAAAAAAAGACTATTTTCTCCCAT